ATTTAACTCGTCTTGAGCACGACAAGAACAAAATAATTTCACGAGTATACTCGCGCAGAGCACCGAAAAGGTTAAGGAACCGCTAATAGAAAAATTGATTCTTTGAAAGTTCTAAAGCAGAATACCCTCTAGACTGGAGTAATTGGTTCAGTCTTGCTCCTCGCTGTACCCCCGGCCAGTTACGAGAGCCAAAAGAAACGGAGAGCTAAGAAAACATTGCGGCGACATCATTTCCCGTCGGAGTGCCGTTAAAAAGGGAATAAAAGACAAAGGAAGGTATCGCGACGATGACAACGACTGCGGTCGTAAGAACCCGAAAGCAACGAAGCGTCGAAACCACAGGCTCGTGCGATTTGATAGCCGTAACCTTCCGGAAATATATTACAGCAGGATGTTGGCTCCACTTGCTTTCAGACAAGCCCTGATTCTTCTGGGCTACTTCCTGAATTTTATACGGTGTTACTTGAATCGTTGTTAAGATACTCCAGACCTAAAAAAGAGACACGTTAGTTTAGATTACCAAATAGAGTGCTTTCTAAACAACAAGAACTAATCTATAAAAGAAGATCTATTCTTAAAAACAGACGAAAGGTAATTTAAAATACCAAGTAGAGTGCCTTTTAAACAATAAGGACTAATTTACAAACCTACCTCAAGACTTGTCACAACAGTTAGTTTATATCGCAAAATACAGTACTTTTCAAGTAGTAAGCACTAACTGAAAACAAATCAGACTAACGTGAATAAGTATGATTATCGACGCACACTTTGGCCTGGCAAAATTTTGCCTCAAAAAAAAAAAAAAGAAAATGAACGCCAATTTCAAATGTCAGAACGGTTTGAAATAATTGTAATGAATAAAATTAAGATAATTATATTTAAGTTATTTAATATAAATCAATTTAATGTTCTAACTAGTATATTTAATAAGTTCACTTCCACAGCTCAAAATTGCTCTTACACTTTCGATATCGATTTCTAATTAACGCCATATCATCTTTGTTTATTTAGAGAGTACTTTAAGCTAAAACAAAAAATTCGATTTTTTGAAACGACCAACGTGGTGTAACCCCTTAATTTGGCCCTTGATAGTCGAAAAGGTTGCCAACCGCTGGTCTAGGACGACGTTGCCCCGTATCTTTCGCGTGTGATGAACGCATCGCGTGGGACGTTGGTCTGCATAAAACCTGAAACTTTCTCTTAATAACTCGTAACATAAATACCCGTGGCGCCTGGGCTCGGATAGAGTGAAAACCGGCGGCGAGGCGGGCCGTGTAAGAAGAGTATAATTTACACCCCGTGGAAAACCGGGCGGTGCTGCTTAACACCGCTTCTTTTTTCGCGCTTCCCTTTGGCCCAGCGGACTTCCATTGCGCGCGGGAAATTTATTCGAAAATATCCCGTGAATTATTTTCTCTTAAGCCGGTTCTCGTTTAAATTAGAATTAAGTTATGCGAAAAAGTTCTCGTCTCGCGCCTTCCCCTGGACCCGTCGCGCGTCCGTTTCCCCGCGTTGTACGCGTTACTTCTTTGGACGCGGTGCCCCGACGAGAATTTCCGTGGCGTAAGAGCGACGAAGTGGCGGCGCAATTTAAATCCGTATGCTTCTCTAACGCCTCGTTTGTCATTGTAAAATTTTCCCAGCTCCTTGGGAGAAGGAAACATCCGCGAATAATACCCCGCGGGAGCAGCGCGGCGATGGCAATAAAACGATGTTCCGCAAGGCAGTCGTCCGGGACAAAGGGAACAACCGACGCCATTTGCTTTTTAACGCGAGCGTTGCGACGCGAGGCAATATTTTCGCATAGATGGTTGTAAATCGGGTGGTTCAAAGGACTTCAACAACGCTGTTCTTCGTAGCGTTCGTCTACTAAATACGACTCGGTTGCTTCTCGTCGTTTGATCGTTTGGAATTTTTCTTTGTGTAGACGATACTTTCAGAGTAAATATTTATTATATTTAACAAGGTTTACCGAATTGCTGCGCTTGCAAATCGTGCTGCAGTTCGCGAAGATTGAGATATTGCTATAAACCGAAAAAAGAAGCTAGAACCATGATTAAATTCAATTATTTGAACGAAGACGCTGGTATTTTGAACGTAAACGTGCAAGTAGCGGGGATATTAAGTGGACTCTTCTTATACAATATTAAGTGTATGTATAAGCCTTTTAGGTTTTTGTGTTGAATAACTTTATCAGCAAATGGAGTCTGCATTTCTCAAACAAGCTAAAAACGAGATTATTAGGTAACGTCATCTACCTATTTGTGTCGATGCAAGTTAACCGATAGTATTGCAGTATCACGCCCTTCGTTTCCGAGAATGAGTCAAAAGAGAATACGAATCATAGGATGGGGGATTAGTATAGGAAAAGTTGTTTAGGAAAAGCGGTCGACTGTGGATCCGAGGATCGTGGGTTCGAATCTCCGTCCCCCTTACTTTTCGTAGAGACTCCTACAGTATCAACGTTAAAAGCGCTAGAACTAGAAAGATTGATACTAGAAAACGATATCTCAACATGTACGAGCTTAATGTTTCTATCTAAACGAAACCTACAAAATATACCTAACAAACCTACTCCATTATACGAACTGCGTATCCCCCATTTGTTCATACAAATGGAGTTCCACCGTAATCCATTTTCATGGTAGAATAATGAAAAATACAAATCGCCTAGAATATAGATATTTGTTTGGTTGCAAGTGAGCCAATAGTACCAACATCGAGCGCAGTAGAACTAGAAAACTTGGTGCTAGAAAACGATATCTCAGCATGTACGAACTAAGCGCTTCTATCCGAACGAAACCTGCTACGAAAAGTACGCTGAAATAAAGCACAACTGGCTGTAGCATGAAGAAATTTAGATATCACGGTATCCCGTATGCAAAGTGTTAAAGATGACGGTTCCGTTTCCATCGGGAACGACCTCTTCGGGGAACTTTCGCGGCGAGGAAACGGCTCCGCGTCTTTGATATTCGTTTTTTCGCCTCTCTCTCTCACTTTCGCTGGGTCGCGTTTAGTAGTCGAAGTGAAAATGGAAATTCAGCGGGAAAGGAAGGAAGTCGAAGACTCCGGCGAGGAGCCGGCGACACGGGAGGGTTGGAACGCCGCGAGATAAGTTCGAATCCACTTTGGGTGGTTGAAGGACGGCGGGGGCGGGAGGGGATGGGGAAGTACTTAAAATTTACACGTCGACCTCCGTTTTCGTTTTGTCCTGCTGTCCTCTTATCTATTCCCGGCTGCGCATCTGAACGGAAAATAATGGATGCGTTTCTCGCGCTCTGTGCAGGAGCGTAACCGCGTGTTTCGCGCGGCGTTGAGGATAATAGATGAGGGTTCGCCGCGTAAAAAAAAAAAAAAAAACGCGAAACTCGTTTAAAAACTCGAGAACCATTTCTTCGACGCTAGCGGACATTCGACCGCGTAAGACGCGGTGATTTATTCAACTGTGACTTTAGCTAAATGACGAGTGATCGTGGAAGAGACTCTTCGTGTTGACGTATCGCATTGTGGTTCTTTGACAGAAATTGTGATTAAAAAAAAAAACAGCTTACAACGTGACAAGAGAAATGTTTCGAATCGAAGTTCACTAGGATTTGATCGCCAAGATGTTGCAAATTGATCCTGTACTGGTAACTAAACAGTAGAGAATGAACAAACTTTTTTTAAAAGAATTTAACCAACCTCAAAGAAAGCACTAAGAAAAGTTGGATAATTTTTTGAAATTTTCTAATGAGTAATTCTCCAAAAATTGAGCATTGTAAGAAAAGAACTAACGACACGGTTAATAAATTCCTGGATGTAAACAGTGGAATTAACAAGCCTACAAATAGGCTCTTGTTAAATGAAATGTTGATATCAATTTACGTTATTTTATTCGAGCTCCGATATTCAACTCCTGTTCTTCTACCAAACGAACTAGGACTCAACCAGTATACATACGGTCTAGACGTCGTATCACCTTTTGCAAGAGACAGGGGACTTTTTGAACGAAAAGTGATTCAGGCGGCAGTAAATGTAGAAGTGCGGAGTTTCTTGCTTCCAGCATGACGTTGCAGAGGAACGCAATTGCTTTCGGAACGGTGACAGAAGACCATAATGTTAGAAGAACGATCGTCATGCTTGAGATTCTGTTTTGTTGTAGTTACCAGACCTAACATATCGAGGCTTTGAAGTACACTGTATTTTCTAGGACGCTCCAGCAATCTACATATTTACTTTTTAACATATACGCAAACAAGTTACACGCAATCATGATTTATCTACTTCGTAAATGTATAAATGCATTGCACGCTTTATAAGTTTCATGAAATTTATTTGAAATGAAATCTAGAATTATTGCCATGTTAATTCTGAAAGGAATTAATAATAATTACGAGCCCAATTTCGACGCATTAGAGATACGCGTACTTTATATTAAAAGAAGCGAGTAGATGCGTCGCTAAAAAATTGATTTGATGTTCGCGCTATTTTACAAAAGTACTCAGAATTTTGAAAGACACTATGGCATTGCGTAAATGCAATCTTGAAGCGACGTTACTGCTTATATGTTTACTAATAAAGCTTTTTTATTTGTTGCAGCGTCCTGAACGACCACTTGCTACTTGTTTGCCTCTTCTATCATCCTGTAGGAAGGAAAAAGATCACAGTTCATGGATCTTAGAAAAAAAAAAGACTACGCAGAGGTATATCTTTCACATTTATTGTAATTTATAAGCTGCAAATAGATTTATCTAATAAGTTTACGAGTGTTATTCCCAGAAAAAAGAAGATGACCAGTCGGTAAGGATAAACATTCTATCACACCTTCTGTCGGCATGTCCAGAATGTACGCAGTCGGTAAGGATAAGTGTTCAGTCATGTTTTCTATCGGTAAAACTCGGCAATGTAGAGCCCTAATTAATCGCAGGATTTTCTATCTTCTTCCTTTGATTGATTAAAGTACGGAGTTGACAACTTCAACTACAACGCTGTTCGATACATCATCTTTTGGATCAAAATGCTTTACATAGTCCTTCACATTATATCGTTTTACACGTTTTTAGTCCTTAACATTGAGCTTCCACAGCCAGAATCCTTAATTTCTTACATAATTTCCATTTCCATTGCATTTCTTCGCATGCTGTCGATGACCACCGACTACAATCAAACTACAGCCCCTGAAGGCGCAGGATTTTCATCAACAGAGTTCTACGTTGCAAACAGACCAATCTGTCTTTAAAAAAAAAAAAGAAAATGTGAAATTGATTCCAAAAATACATCATCTCGAAAGGAATAAGCGTAGAAGTATCGTTGCCTTAAATTTAAGTCTCAGGTTTGCATTTTATTAGTTTGAATTTTGAAAAAGCGCAAGTATCGCTAACTCGCGTTATAACGTTACCGTTACCAACATCTCTAGCTCCAAGCATCTCCGATGACACCGATTTTCGCGTCGCGCGGAGACAGTCACCAGTAGCTTCGATGACGAGTAACGTTGATCGTGACAGCGATGCCGATGATGATAGCAGCCCGAACACATCGCTAAGTAGTAGGTGGAAGCGGGCTTGACCTACTTCGATCGTGGCAACAAAGAAAAAAGTCTTGGACGGTTCCCCGGGGTCATGAGCCTCAGACGCGGGGAATTAAAACTTGTTCCTATTGGTTGCCTTAGCGGGAGCACAGGCTGCCAACAGAAGTCACGCATGCCTGCTGCGTGATTCCCCTCGTGTACACGCGGCCTGTGTTTCTTGTTCCTTTAAATCTCGTCTGCATTTAATTTTCTCGCTTCTCCGAAGATGCATCCCGTCGCTCGACCAGGGATTTTCACTCTCTGTAAAAATGACTCGCCCCTACTGGAATCTTACGTAAGCGATTGTACTCGGAGTCAACTGTTTCGGGTCAGATCGGCTAAAGATTGCGTCACCTTTTGCTTACCTTTCGAAGCGTTTTATAACATCGGGTTAAAGTTCAGGACAAAAGTTTCTTTCGTTTTATTTATATTTAAATACGTATATAGTATTTTATGTTTTACATTACATCGTTCAGCTTTACGATCTCAAACAGGAGAACGTAAAAAGATGAATGGTTAAGAGACAAATTTCATCCGGACAAAGACTACCGAAGCATAATCAAGAGTTTAAATAAACGCAACTTAAAAGGTATATAGAGATGCTTCCCTGAAACGACATAAGAGCCACCACGCTTCTCGACTTCAAAAAGACTACTACTCTTCAAGCCTCTTTTACGAATTATACGCACACTAAGCAAAGCTAATTTGTATCTTTGATGTACATGCGTCTCGGCGCACTTAATTTTATCTAAACGTCTCAACGCAGTTTGCGGATAAATTGAAACTTTTACGGGAATCGAATAGGTCCGTCAAGTATCATAAAATAGCGTATAGAGTAACTTCTTGCGAATCTATTGGAATGAAATTAACCCTCTATGAGCCCCTGTAGCCCCTATGGGAAATAAGATTATTTAACCGAATAATTTTAGTTTTTTTTTTTTCACAAGATGACGTATACGCCTTAATTATACGATGTCTCTGATATACATTATTGACGACAGTTAGCAGCACTATCAAGTTGAAATATTAAAGTATAATGCCTTCCAAGTTGTCTGGAGAAAAAAAAAATGTTAAAAGGGTTGAAGGGTTAAGAGAGATCAAAAGACCTAAAGGCGCTAGTTGTTTAGGAATAATATAATGAGTACGAATATAGAAAGTTCGATAAATTATCGAAAACAAAAAATCATTCGAGGGGAAAAAAGGAACGTGGAACGAGATCGTCTCGTTATTCATTTTTCCACGACGTCGTCGGGCAATTAGATTTAGTGCTTCTTATTCGTACTCGCTTTCCTTTTGTCTTTCCATTCTGAAAACTCCTCTTTTCTCTCACATCCTTGTACACGCACGCGGATGGAAAGAATGCTCATGCGACCGAATGAAAGAGCGCGCAGTTTCGTTTATTCTCATTGAAACTTTCCGAGCAAATCTCCATTTGTCTCGTCGTGTTCTTTCACCTTTTCTCCCCGGCATCGCTCGTACCTTTTCGCGTGTAACGATGAATTTCAGATTGTTGCCGAGCTACGAGGTTCCTTTAATATTTCGAAACACTTTCGAGACGCTGTTGAGCCTATAATCCGCGATGCATGCAAGATTGTATCGCTAGTTCACGAGATGTTATTCGAAACAGAAGTTGTACAGATAAATGCACTTGCTGATTGTACAAAAATTGTTTAAATACTGGCTGTTCGTACATAAACTTCCAATTTTTTATAACGACATCACATCGTTGAAGTTCGACACTTTAAAATGATCCAAAGTATGATAGAATAAATTATAACAATATAGGGTATATTTTTACGTAAAATAGAATCGATATTCTGTATTTTCTATTGAATAAAATCTAAGTCGAGTGTATGGAAACATTTTTGATTGGGTGTATATATCATAGATGACTGCTTGAAAATATATATACAGGGTGTCATGTTCTTCCTTAGCGAAAATGTTGTATTTCGAATCACTCCTCGAACCACCCCTTTCAAGGACCTCCAACATTTTTGGGACACCCTGTCTGTAGTAATATAGTATAGTATAGTATAGTACAGCTATAGTATACCTTACAAAAAGTATCGGCTCCCTTGATCGTTTCGTGAAAACAGCGATCTAGCTATCTTTCATCTTCAATATCAACGCCAAAGGAAATACATACATTGTTTTCGAAGAACCATTTGTTATATCGTGCAACGTAATGATTTATATCGCAATTACACTTATGTGGGGCAACGCAAGATTCATCGATCTCTTCAAGCTTCAAACGAGACAAACTCGTTTCCCAAGGCATTTTCATTTCAAAGGTGTCTGCGTCTCGTGCCACGGAGGCGTGGCATGGGCGTGAATCCTTAGTGTCTGCTTTTAATTTAATTTATTACACGTGCCACCGCTGAGCTACGTCAGCGTTAAAGAAGCTGTGGATGCTTTACAGTAAATCGTACGTAACCACGATTCCTCATTTCGAGTCGTCAGAAAATTCACCCTGTTACCTTAATTCGTCTCGAAATGGAAAACATGATAACAAAATTTACTTTCAGAGTAAATTTAGTAAAGCAGCGTTCTGCTAACACCGCGGATTTTCGAATCCACCTTCTTTCTATCCTTCGTTTCCGAAGTTCCGAGATCGCTGTCTAGCTCGGTTCACCCTTTGTTAGAGGCGCGGCCAGCATCCGGTTTTCGGAGGCGCGCGTTAAACGTCCGTGGAACATCCCCGGACATATTAAATGATCGCGTAATTACGAATGTTTGCCCACTATCCCCCTTTTTACTCCGTCTGACGGTATTCCCTTTGTTTTTCGTTTCCCGAGCTCGGGCCACCTCTTCATCCGGACGAGCACCTCACGGTGTCTGGTTATGGACAGAAGAGGGCTGGATAAAGAGACGACGACGAGTCTCGAGGTCATTTGAAACCAATTTCAGCAATGTCCGGACATTTAAATCGAGGTCCCCGATGTGCAACCCCTCACCTGTCTCTCCTGACGTTCACACTCCGCGTTCGTTGCCCTACGTCACTCCCTTCGCTTTGGGAGTACATGTCTAGTAACAGTACGCAGAAATTAACGTCAACCTAAATCAACACTGATACAGAAATAACTCTTACAGGTTTTCGCTTCTCTCTAAGCAGCTTTAGAGTTAAATTGTGACGACTTCGATTGCTTTGTTTAACGAAGCACAACGTTGTAACCACCCCAAGAATTTTCTTTTCTTTTCTAAGTCCCGCCAGTAAATAAAGGGTTAAAAAACATGTAATAACTGAACATCAACCTATCGAAGTATGTTCCTATTCGAATCAGTACAGAGGTCAGATTTAATCGTGTAACGAGTCCTATGTCGCGCGCCTCTGCTCGATTCGTTTCCGTTTTCTGTTCTCTCCTCCGCTTCCTACCGCTCCATTTCGCTTTTCTTCTTGCCTCGCCTTGGCTCGTGTCTTCCTCCACCTCTCCTATATACCTGGTCTCTCCTCTCCTGTCTCGTGTTCCTCGTCACCATTCTGTCACCTTCTCGTTTCTTTTTCTCCCTTCTTTTCCCTCCTCCCTCGGGTCTGACCCTTTTCCTCCCACTCCCTGGTTTCGTTCACGCAAGCACGCATCCACGCATACCAAATGAAAGCCCACTCTATCTTCCTCCATTCGCTGGCACGTTCATAATCGCTCTCGTCATCGCATGATCCCGGCTGCATTACTCCGAAGAAAGGCCGCTTTCACGAATGCTGCCAAACTGCCTGCGGTCGTTACCCTTTATGATGCACGGATTCAACGATTCGGTGTCTATTGATCGGCACCAGGCCTTCTCGCTCGGCTGTCGTTAAAGTTAAACCCAATTTGATGATCCCGCTCATTAAAACGATCGGTACAGCGGGATTCCCAGCGAGCCCCCCTGGATAGCATAAAAATAATGATAATTGACCAACCGTCGCTTTCGTAACGACAACTGTTATTCGTATCCCCCGTTTTGTATTTTTAAAGGCGGAAGTCTGACACTATTTCTGTGCCTCAGAGGCGGGCTATGTCAAGTACAAATATCGGAGATTTTATATCGGGTTGGACGAAAAGTTCGCGCGTTTTCTTTTTTTTTTTTTTTTTTCGTTTTGTCAGATATCACTTTATCCTGCTGCATAATTTGTTTATGGGCGTTCGTTTGTTGTGTAACGTAAATTATTCTTCTGCCTCTTGTTGCACGTATATTGGATAGTCGTTAGAAAATTATTTGAGTAGAGAAAACCTCGAAACTTTCGCAGAAGTCGAAATGGCTCTTCGAGAATATTTCTTGTCGAAACCATAAACATTTTACGAAGATAATATTAAAAGACACGTGGAATGATAGAAGAAAATAATAGAAATGGAAACTACGGCACTGATTAAACACATCTCCTTTTGGGAAAATATCGCAGTGGAGTTTATTAGGGAGACCGAGAAGTAATGTCATTTTTAATCTAGTGTGCGAAATCTCAATGCCGGGTCGGTAAAAATCAATGAGTTGATGAATGATAAATAAGTATCGAGAAATAACATTACAGTCCGCCTGGTATTTTGAATAAAACCGCGCGAACTTCCCGCTCAAGCCAATATTTCGAACAGGCACGAAGAATATACTGATCGAGTTACTTATGTTTATCAAAAATATTCAAGGTTCGAAGTCGTTCTTAATCAAAAATTCGTACGCGACGAGCTCAAATTGTATTTTTAAAATCAAGAGTCAAGTTCGTCGAGTTATTAGTAATTTCAATGCAATGTATCGTATAAATAAACCAACATCTAATCTAGCATATTGATTGCAAATATTACGCGCGTTAAATTGAACGTAATACGATCGTTTTAGTATGCACGAAAAAATATTAGCACGAAAGTAATCCGATATAAAGTGTGCCAATTACTCGAGGCTCGACTAGATCAAATCGTGTACCGCGCTGTAATACGAAACAGGACAAGCCAAAGATTTTACATCTTAAATTGCATTACGCGACTCGCTTTCATCTCTTTCTGCTCGTTATTAGTAATCTCTAAAAGCAGTCTCTGTTACATTTCTTACCAGCAAAGTCGAAGAATTTACGCTGGATAAACTAAAGGTTGCTTCCTAACGTACCTCGTGAATTTTTTAAATCGTCCAACCGATAAATTTTCATCGTTTGAAGTCGATCCAACGCGAAACGGTTCTCGGAATCGAACAAGAATCTACGAAACCGCGTCCAAGGCAGCTCACCGCGCGACTCATTCCTCGCATTAATAGACCCAGATTGCGCTAATAAAAATCGCGAACCTAATTAAACCGAAACTTGAATCTCCCCAGTGGAATCTCCCTGGCAACTGTTGCGATCTAACGAATCCGAGAGGGAAGGCGACGGAGGGGCGAGAGCGGCGATTAATCAATCCTCTAAAACGAGCAACGAAGGCCGGAGCCGAGCAAGAAAAAAATTGACGTTTTCATCGAAACCGCGCGAAAAAGAGAAAAAAAGATCGCGACGAAAAAGCCCGAAATGGGGCGATTGGAAAAGTCGGAGAAAGATGAAGCGATCGATACGAGGCGAGGATTTTTGATCGAGAGATTGGAAAAAATACGAACGCGCCGAGCTATTAAAAGAATCGAACTCTCGTTCGATTCGCCTTGCGAACGACGCGTGTGGATGACACAGGCAGTCAACGTGCGTTAACACCTGAAACTTGTCTTGAAATAAAAGGAACTCTGTTTCTTTTAACGTTCGGAGTAAAATAGGTTCCTTAACCCTTTGCACTCGAGAGGTGTGTCTGAGTCACCATTAGGTTACACGCAGCAAATCTATCAGCAATAGTGATTCTTTAGATTTAATTTCTTTGGAACTCGAAGTATCGATAAAATGATGGTCGGCGAGGTAAAGG